TTCATTTTGCTTGTTCCTGGAACAGGAAAAGCTCTTTGGCCAAACATGGGGTGAACAAGTAACCAGCACCGTCATTGCAGGACAGTATATGACACAAGTTATTAAAACACTTATTAGAAATAAATTCTGACCTGCATACTTCCTCTTGCCTCCAAGGTCAATGACACTATTCTCTTCTCTGTCTAGGAACTGGACTTCCTTCTCATGCAAAAGGTGAGCGATCTTGACCTGCTGCAGCTTGACACGGGTCTCCAGCAGGCGCACCTGGGCTCTGAGCCGCTCCTGCTCCTGGAGACAGTCCTCCAGCGCCTGCAGAACGGATTTTCATGGGAAGGACATGCTCCTAGTAAATTGGATTAACCAGTGACTCGATTTTTTGTCCTCAACTTTTATTTCAGAATATTCAAACCAGACAGTGGTTCGAAAAGTTCTAATACTACTTGTTATTTGAAGAATAAGAAATTATGGCTCATGCTAAAGCTCCTGAGCTAAAGAAATAAAATAATATAAAATAATCAGAATAGCTATGCTAAGAGCTTTGCAGTCTCTGTTTCATTCAATCCTCATAAAAATTCCACGAGAAAGGAATGGGTTCAATCCTGATGAGAGAATTTGTTCAAGATTACTCAGCAGGCACGAGGAATCCAGTTCAAGGTTTACGTTCTGAATCTCTACATGATACTATCTATGGTGTTGGTGAAAAATATTGAATACACCAGGGACTGCCAGAAGAACGAACAAATCTGTCTTGGAAGAAGTACAGCCAGAATGCTGCTTAGAAACGAGGACAGCAAGACTACATCTCACATACTTTGGACATGTCATCAGGAGGGACCAGTGCCTGGAGAAGGTCATCATGCTTGGTAAAGTAGAGTGTCATCAAAGAGGAAGACCCTCAATCACATTGATTGACACAGTGGCTATAACAATGGGCTCAAACATAGCAACAATTGTGAGGATGGCGCAGGACAGGGCTGTGTTTCGTTCTGTTGTACGTGGGATTGCTGTGAGTAGGAACCGACCAGATGGCACCTAACAGCAACAACAAAGTGTTTTCTGAACTGTAAAGTGCTTTACAGACGTTAACTGCATTATTAGTGTGTCAATTCCTAAAATAAATGAGATTTTTTAAATAATCTTTGGTACAAGAATATGTTAAAAATATAATTGAATGCTTATAACTGGATAACATATGGTCCCCTCTACAAGGAATGTTAATTCAGACCCTTATATCTCCAAGAAGCCCTGCTGGGGCAATGATAAAGCACTTGGCTGCTAACTTGAAGGCTGGTGTTTTGAATTCACCCAGAGGCTCCGAGGGAGAAAAGACAATCTGCTCCCATAAAGATTACAGCCCAGGGAACTCTACGGGGCAGTTCTACTCTGTCATATAGGGTCACTATGAGTCAAAAATAGACTCAGTGGCACCCAGCAACAATAGCAACAGTATCTCCAAGCATCTTACCCATTTACCTGTTGTTGGAAATTCTACTGGAGTCACTTTAACTTTTTGTTTATTTGTTATTTTTCTTTCGTCTACTTACAAAAAGGAGCCCTGGTGGTGCAGTGGTTAAGAGCTCAGGCTGCTAACCAAAAGACTGGCGGTTCAAATCCACCAGCCACTCCTTGGAAACCCTATGGGGCAGTTCTACTCTGTCCTATAGGGTTGCTATGAGTTGGAATCGACTTGAGGGCAACAGGTTTGGTTTTCTTACCTTATATATATATATTATCATTTAAAAGTCATTTGATTAGAGTCAGGCATAGTTCCCAGTTTATATTTGCATAACTTCCTATACCTGTCTCCGTGTACTACTTTGTATTCATTCCATAGATATGAGGACCTACTGTGTTCTCAGCTACACAGTAAGTCCTCATATTTATGTGTTCCGGAGAGATCCCTGGTGATGCAGCGGTTAAAGCACTCAGCTGCTAACTGGAAGGTTGGTGGCTTGAACGCACCAGCTGCTCTGCGGGAGAAAGAGGTGGCAGTCTGCTTCCATAAAGATTTATAGCCTTGAAAACCCTGTGGGGCAGCTCTACTCTGCCCTATAGGGTTGCTGTGGGTTGGAATCTGCTTGAAGGCAATGAGTTTTTTTTTTTTTTTTTTGGTTACTGTGTTCCAGGTAAAGGAACTCGGCAAAGAAAAGAGGTACATTGCATTTGTATGAAGGACTATAAATGCAAATCTAAAAATTCAGCCTCAAAACTGAGCCATATAGCAAGAGGATGGAAAAGTGGTGATAGAGGCCCCTCTCACCCCCTGCCTCCCATCTCCTCGTCCAAGTCACTGATCTCTCGCTATTTCTCCAGGACTACTTCTTGTTGAAAATTCCAGTCCCCCCGGAGGTGCCTCAAAAGAAAGGCTTGGCAATCTACTTTTGGAAAATCAGCTATGAAAACCCAATGGGGCACAGTAGTACTCTGACACACATGGGGCCGTGATGAGTTGGAATTGACTCGATGGTAATCGGTAGTTCTCGTTGTCATCTGACTTGCTACTCTCTATTCATCATGCTTTGATTTATCCTCGGAGTTATTTGCTTAGCCCTTGAATCACACCTGTCTAAAAAACAAACAGCAAGAACATTTCCTGGTGTTGCTTCCCAATAGCGGGAAACTGGTTGTGAAATTACTAAATACAGTGAACTATGCACTTTTAAAATAACTAAGGGGTTACAGGCCAAGTATGTTCAATTTTTATAAGTCTGCATGTAAGGTTTTAGTAAAGTTAGTTAAAAACTTAGGATTTTTCTTTCTCCCACATACTCATTTTCACTCATTTTGTCCTTTTTACTCCTGAAGGCAGGGGTAAATTAATCTGTTTAGTTTACACTAACAGCATTCAATACTGGAAAGCTCAAGGTCAGTGTGGAAACCTTGGTGGCACAGAGGTTAAGTGCTATGGCTGCAAACCAAAAGGTTGGCAGTTTGAATCCACTATCCGTTCTACTCTGTCTATAAGGTCGCTTGACTTGACAGCAATGGGATTTGGACTTAGTGCCTATTATGTGCCAGGTGCTTACACAAATCATTTTCATTTTTTTCCCTTTCAGTTGAATTTTTTCAGGACAAATTACTATACAGACTTTCTGCAAAATTAAAGAAAATTCAGGTCAGAGCAGGCATTATAAACATCATTGTCTTTGCAGTAAGCTTACCCAGCTTTCTCGGCTCATTACCAAAACAATGGTGACAAGGACGCAACTGATCAGCTTCTCCATCTTCCCCACTGAAAGAACTGCAAGAACAAAAAGAGCTTCATTCATTTACCAGCTTTGGTTTCTTCACAGGACCAGAGTTGGATGCAGACTCAAGTACCCCCAAAAGCTCCGATGCAGTTCCAGGTTATCCTGAATCTGAGAAATCACCTAGGAAATGATCCCGCGTTTCCCAAGCCTTCCCTCGCACAAACTGATGATGCTCAGTGTTGCCTTAGACAGAATTGAACCTGACTGGGGAGATGGAGGGCCCAGTCCTGTGCCATCGCCACGACTGTTGGTATGTTCGAGTCCATCGTTGAGGCTCTCGTGTCAATCTGTCTCAGTGCGGGCTTCCCTTTTTCTCATTGGCCCTTTACTTTACCAAACATGACGTCCTTTTCTAGTGGCTGGTCATTCCTGCCGACATGTTCCAAGTAAGTGGAAGTCTCAACATCCTCACTTCTAAGGAACATTCTGGTTGTATTTCTTCTGAGTTGTTTGCTCTTTTGGAGCTGTGGTGTTGGGAAGGCTATTCAATATCAAGGGGACTGCCAAAAGAACACATTTAAAGCTTAAAGCTGTGGAGGGAAATGAACTCCATCACTTTTTCAGATTGTTTTTAAAATCACTCTCGAAGTCATGAGTCTCAATGAAAAATTATGATCATCCTCAAAACAGCTTCTGTGTTCTGCCACAGTGCCTAGAAGGTCAGAAAATAACTACATAATCCTCAAGCAAATTTTATACCTTTGGCTTCTGCCAAAAAAGAACTGGAATGAACTGAATTATTTGTTAGCCCTTTTTTATTCTTATGGAACATATGTCCACTAGGTACTTTTCATATATAACTTGATCAATTTTTATGTAATTCAGGAAGTGGTTCTGACTCATAGTGACCCTATGTACAACAGAACGAAATGCTGCCTGATCTGGCACCATCCTCACAATTGTTGTTATGCACGAGCCCATTGTTGCAGCCACTGTGTCACTGCATCTCATTGAGGGTCTTCCTTTTTCACTGACCCTCTCCTTTACCAAGCATGATGTCCTTCTCCAGGAACTGGTCCCTCCTGATAACATGTCCAAAGTATGTGAGACAAAGTCTCGCCATTCTCCCTTCTAAGGAACATTCTGGCTGTACTTCTTCTAAGACAGATTTGTTTGTATGTGGAGAAAGAGGTAAAATGCTGAGTAAATTACATGGCTAAACAGGCCAAGAGATTAAATAAAACACAAGAGCATATACAATTAACTACTCGTTGCAGAGAAGCTCTAATAAGCATCCTTAGACCCATTTTTTTCAGGAAGCAGTCCTTTTATACGTTCATATCATATGATTTGTAGCAACAATTTAGGAAAACTCTAGCGTTTCACTCTTTCTACTACCTTAGTAACTATTTTTCTTTGAAATTCAAGCATGTATTGGGTACCTACTTTATGCCAGGTGTTATGTAATCTAGATACTTTCACATACATTACCTTATAATAAAATGTAGAAAAAGTAAGTTTAAGCACGGCATTTAAAATGTTTCCCAATGTAAAAATAAGACGCTATGAGCTTTCAGAGTGGATAGAGTGAGGTGAGAACTATACAGAAACAGAAACCCAAAACCCATTGCCGTTGAGTCTATTTTGACTCCTAGCGACCCTATAGAAGAGACTAGAACTGCCCCATAGGATTTCTAAGAAGCGACTGGTGGAACAGAGGTAGTGAACAAATGGAGAAGAAAAGATGAATAGGTTTACTATCAATGAATATCTTCTAAGTTATAAAATAATCTTGGAATTGTTTAAGAAAATGTATGTTTTTCTGGGGACTACACAGGAAAATTAATGGTAGCCTTTATTATCATCATAAAAGATACAATAAAAATTACCCTCTTTCCTTTAAGATGTCAATCCAAACTGCACTAAAGGGCAGTTATTCACAGTGCAATAGCATCCTAAACCTTGCATTTGCAAATGTTGAGATCATATCTACAAATTTAGCATAATTTCAGGTTGAAATGAATAGCCTAAACCAAAGACATCTAATGTTATCAACAAGTGTAATTTTATTCTGATCCTGGAGGTAGGCTCAAGTTTCTTTCGTCTGGAGTTCTTGGAAGGATCTGTCATTACCATTGGTCCATCTGTCAAGACTTGTGAAGAAAACACCTGCAGAAGAATAAGTTCAAGCATCTACTTTAGCTACGTATACAATGAAGATACTTCTACCTTTCAAAATGAGCGTAGCAATCAGGTACTATTACAGTAAGACCTATTTCCTTACAGATTTAGCTATTTCAGTGGTTTAATCTTGCTCACCGAAATATAATTATATGCAATTAAAGCCTAATGAAAATGCAACAAACCCTCTAAAATGTGTGCCTCTTTTCCTCCATCAGAATGAAAGACAGAAAAATAATGGGAAGGGAAAGAATGAAAAGAAAGAACTCAATTATTTTCAATGACTACACTCCATAAATCACATTTGAAAACACAATCATAAGTTGTCAATGTATCCACTGTTGTCTGTGCTTCAAAAATTCTGAAGTTTATTTCAATAGAAAATGACACTGATCTTTCCTAAGAAAAGCTAAGATGATGAATACCCATTGCTGTTGAGTCGATTCTGACTCATGGTGACCTGATGTGTTATAGAATAAAACTTCTTCATAGGGTTTTCTTGGCTGTAATCTTAGTAGAAGCAGATCACCGGGCCTTTCTTCTGTAGTACTGCCAGCTGGGTTTGAGCTGCCAACCTTTAGATGAGTAGTCAAGTACTACTAACTGTCCAGGGACCTCTAAGATGATGACTAGAACCCCCTGAAGATCCTTAAGAAGGAAGGGCTTTGCAAAGAAAACTGGGCTTCTGGAACCCTAGTGGCACAGTGGTTAAGAGCTCAGGCTGCTAAACAAAAGACTGGCAGTTCGAATCCACCAGCCGCTCCTTGGAAATCCTATGGGTCAGTTCTACTCTGTCTTATACGGTCACTATGAGTCAGAATCGACTCGATGACAACGGGATACAATTACTT